TTTTAATTTTTTAATAATTTATTTCGGATCCATTTGCATTTTTTAAACAAGAATTAGGAGTATGGTGTCAATTATTTCTATCAACTTCCTTGACCTTTCGGCACTGGACAAACATCAGCCTCCATACATGGTCTTACGATTTTGCATTGTTTTATATAAATAGAAGGGTATATTTTCGTCATTTCACAGCTTTTAATTTATAAATTGGATGAAAATTATGATTTCCGAAATGAAAGGCGTAAATATAGAAAGAAAAAAAATGCAACATTGTAACGTTTTGCTCAATGAATTCCATACTTACGGGCCTTTTATGCTAATAACCTTTTTCAAAATCTATAACTGGGAGTAGGACTGGTTTTATTATTTCTTTTCTTGAAATTTTGTTTATGTTAAAAGTAAAAGTAATGTTATAAATGTTTTGTCTATGCAGTATTGACCGACAGATTAATCTATATATGAATTATGAACATGATACAATTTGTGAATTTTTGTACGACTTTGATACAAAGTTAAGTTCATGTATGATTTTGGCACATGAGATAAAGTTCATGTACCGTTCGAACATTTAACCATGATTAATACGATAAATTGGTTTTAAAGCACGGCCGGAAATTTTGATATACTACGCCAACCAGTATTGAAAAGAAAAACATAAAAATAATTCGTGTGCATTTTTTAATTCTCATACAATTATATCTCCAATACATCATCCCAAAAATGCCCATAATAACCATTAAGAACGATGGAAAATGCTAAATGTACATCATAGTGTACATTATGGTAGAAAACCATATAAAATTACTAGTGCTTCTAGGTAAAAGTAACAATGGTCCCATAGAACAGAAGGCAAGTCCATAAGAGAAGAAGTGCCTAAGATTTAAGAGTGAAAAGATTGATGAAGTTGTGAAGGGAGTAGAGAAAAATGATAAAATAAATTACTGCAGCCAAAAAGCCAGCAATGAGAGCCCCTGTAACTCGGTCACAGAACTTTGGAACTTGCCCACAAATTGGTAGCCAACCTGCATGACTGTTCCCCTTCTTACCCACCTGTGCTATAGCCAAACATGCTGATATGCTTGAATCCAGCAACAAAGCCATAATCTACAAATTTTTTCAGAGATAACACTCTAATTAGCCTATATTTACCCAAGATACGGCAAAGAAATGTTGAACATCTCATTTAAAAATTTAAAAATTATTACAAAAGTTTTTAAATGAGGTTCCCCTTATTTTAAATTTTGAGTAAGAGCAAGCGAGAAGGTTCTTGAAATAAGCCCTATTAAGGGGTTCCCAACGTTGAAAAGCCACAGGTTTTAAAAATTATGCAAGTGTCTGAATTTTGATGAAGAAATGAATTTGGTATGCGCCAAAGAGGCTTGTTGAAGTTAATCTAATAAGGATTATGCCACTTTGATGTAAGTATTTTGACAGATGCAGTGACAGAAGTGCAGGTAGCGACAGATGATTGGATGAAAAAGTTAATTGTGTTTTAAACAGTCCTTTTACGAATTTTGAAGTTTTAGACGAGTTGGTTTAGCAGTTTAGAAACACTAATAATATTTATTACCAAATCAAAAACCAAGATCAATCGCCCACAATAACTCTTGGAAGGGAAAAAGAGCATTATAAGGGTGTAACCACTTGCTATTGCATTTATTAACGCAAAATACCTGCAGACAAACATAGATATATCATGATAAATTTCTCTGTCAATGATACATAATTAAGAACATTATGGAGTAGTAGTCTTACTTGAAAGTTGGTGAATTTGTATATTTGGCTTCAAATTTCATGTTGAAGACTTGTGCAGAATCCTTGCTCGTCACCATGATAACAGTTGCAGTAACCGCGGCGCCCAAGGCCAGGAGCCTGAGCAAAAAAATGGGAATTCTCTTGGCCGAACTCATGACTAAATGTATATATTTTTCAATATAAATGTACAATGGAGTTTGATTAATCTTTGAAAAGAGGAGTAGAATGGAGAGAAGAAAGAAAATGTGGTAGGGTAGGAAAGATTAGACAGATAAGTGGGAGATGAACTTGCGTTCTTGTAGATCTTTTCAGGTCATGTTCTTGGTTACCTAATAATATTTACACGTAATATTGGTGCCATGTGTTACCCCCATATACAAACTCTCCTAGCAGTCAACTAATATTGAGAAGTGCTACATTTACATAAATTTATACATAATGATGTCCATAATTACACGTGGCACTGGATCCAGTCATTAATTCAAATCTCACACTTTCACATCAATAACAGGATTTTGTCTACATCATATTATTGACACTATTATATACATATATTATGTACATGTAGACTTTTCCAATAATATTTACACGTAATATTGTACTTAGGGTCCGTTTGATTGCAAATGTGAAAAATTGATGGAAAGAAAATGTTTTACATGTAATTCATTTGCCTAGAAATTGCTTTACTGAGAATTGTAATTAATTGTG